GTAGAATTCTCTATTTTTCCCTTCAACACTGTAAAAGCTTAATTTATGTATTTGAGACCCTTCTCTTGACAGCATAGATCTTTATTATGGTTATGTGCTCCTGTTCAATTGACCCTTTCATCATTATGTAATGCCTTTCTTGTCTCTTTTAATACTGAAAGACTCAATTCAACAAAAGCACATAATCCTAATCAATATGCACCCACTAAGGGAGCCTCAGAATACATTAGTGCCCTTCTTTGTCTCGTAAAAGGAGTCCTGGTGGCATAGTGGGCTACACTATAAATTGCTAGCCTTAGGTCAGCAATTCAAGCCTACCAGTTGCTCCATAGAAGGAAGATGAGGCTTTCTACTCTGTAAAGATTACAGTCTGAAAACCCAGAGGGGCAGTTCTGCTGTCCCATGGGGTCACAGGGTCTCAGTCCACTTGGGGGCACTGAGTTTAGTCTTCAATTTTTGCCTTGAAATAGATTTTATCAGAAATGAACACTGCTACTGATACCCCTACTTTTTTTTGGTCACATCAGCTGGTACATTTCCCACTCTGTCTCAGTGTCAAAGCTGTGTCCTGCAGACAGCATACCACTGGGTCCTGTTTCCGCATACATTCTGCTGCTCTTGTCTCTGACTATTGCACTTAATCCATTTACATCCCATTACCTTTTGATCAGTGAGAATTTGTTGCTTTTGTTGTGTTTCTGTAGTGCTGCTGCATTCCCAATTCTACATAATTTTCTTGTTTCCCCAAAAGTTTTATTGGCATATAATTCACATATCATACCGTCCGATAGTTCATCCATATGAAGAGTTGTGATCATCGCCACCATTCATTTTAGAACATTTTCTTCATTCATACACCCATGATTATCTCCCCATTTCCCACCCCACCCCCCAACCTCCCCTGCTATCCCCCAAGGAACCATTAGTCCAGTTACTGTCTCTATAGATCTATCTATCCTGGATTTCATATACAGAAAGCCTTTTTTTTTAATCTAGCAAAATTAACAAAGTAAAACAGATATAAACCTCAATAGAAGAGAAAGCAGAAGATATTAAAAACCAGAAAAAAATTAAATGGGCCGTAAGGGAAATTGAATGACAGGGTGCTAAATTGTAGCCTAGCTGCATCTGCAACCGTCCACTCTCCAGTCTATTTGGTATGACAGCAAGACTATTCACCTCCCTGGTCCATGGTCAGAGGGGATTCAACAGGGGCTTCAGCCACATGTATTTCCCCTTTACTTTTTTTTTTTAATAAAACAAACAGCCCCCAATCCCAACTACACAGACAGCCACCCCTCCCTTCAGAAGAATTCACTTCAGAGGACAGCACTGAAGCTACAGCTCAGGGAGAGGGACATGTCTGATCAGAGCACATGGGAG